TTGGTTACTCTGGCTTATGTGGCCTTTCCTATTTCATAGTAATCAATCTTATGTGTCCCAAACAAGTACAATAAGTTATTGCCAAAATAATATAGAAAGCAAAGTGGTACAAAGGAAGCACATGTGTGTGCGTGAGCGCCACACAAGTGCTAGGAACTCTAGGGAGCCACGAGGAAAGCAATGGCACCAGCAAAGTCCTCTACTGGTGTCCACTTTCTATGAATGGCTTATGTGACCTCAGCAAGATCAGAAGATGGGATCCTGGGATCAACAGCAGGATTAAGCCTGAAGACTGCAGAAGGTCGGGCCAGGGAGGGCTGGGTGCAGGGACCGCAGAGAGCAAAGGCAGGAATACATCATGCAGAGTGCACCCTGAAGCCCAGTCTGGACTTCAGAGATGACTGTGTGAGCCAGTCTCTCAGAGAGGCAGGCAGAGGGAGAGCCCCCGCCAGAAGGGCCGGGGTGAAGTGCCCCTGAGGCCTCCTGGGGCAGCATGATGTCCTCAATCACACTGTTCTGCTTCCTGTTCTTTTCACCATCCGCACAATGTACCTATTCTCACTGCCAGGATGTACATTTATTTATTTGCTTATTTATTTTTTTGGGGGGTGCATGTGTGCTCACATGTGGAGGTCAGTAGACAATGTGAAAAAACTGGTTCTCTCCTTCCACCATATGGTTTTCAGGGAGGGAACTCAGGTCTTCAGGCTTGGTGGCAAGTGTCTTTACCTACTGAGCCATCTTGCTGACCCCATGATAGATTACTAACTGTTCATAACAAATATCATTTTTATAATTGTCCATTTCAAAAATTATGCAAAAGGACTATAAAAACCAAGGGTTTCTTCTTCAAAATAACCTAATAGCCAAACAACACATCAGGCTTCCTAAAACTATTTTGCTAGTGAAATTATATTATTGTCAAGTAGCTCCAGGAGTTTACTCTAGGAACTGCCTGTGTGGGACAAGAGAGAGATTCCATATCCTCCTTTACCATTATGCAAGCTAGTTCATTTGGAGAGGCATTTAAGGATATGCCCTGGAGTAAGTGAGATTCAATGACTCAAGACTACAGCACCAACACTTGGGAGCCTAAGGTAGGAGAATCACAAGTTCCAGACCAGCCTGGATGGGCTGCATAGTGAGTCCCTGCCTTATATAACAATGCCTGGAGTGGGAAGGAGGCATATTACTGGCAGGGGAAACACAGCAGAACCTAGGTTGGAGCCCTGGCAAGTGAAGAGCAAGAAACATCTGGGCAAAACAAAGCAAGATGGACTAGAAGAGAACCAGCCAATTACTTCAGGAGCCAGAGGAAGCAGTGAAGCAGGACAAGGATGCCATGGCTCACACAGGACTGAATCATTCTGATGAATTTAAAGAAGTCATTAGGCAGCTTAGCAAGAGGGCAGGGGTGGGAACAGAGGTGATGAGAAGGAGACGGAACTGAAGAGTGGGGTAGATAACAGAGTACACACCACAGTGGTTCTTACAAAATAGAGGAAAAAACATGAAAAGGCTTTGGAACTTGAGCAAGCGATTAAACTCTTCAAGTGCCTAGTTATTCACCTGAAGGTAGGTGTGCGTGTATGTGTGTGTGTGTGTAAAAGAGGTGTCTGTACAGAATGAATGAAACAAAAACTCGATACTTTATAGTCCTTAACTTAGCCACCCACAAAATATTAGAAGGCAAAGGCCATGCATAGTCTTGGGACTTGGAAGAGCTAGATAGAGATCGGTGAGAGTTTGTTGTTGTTGTTGTTGTTTTTTCTGAGACAGGGTTTCTCTGTGGCTTTGGAGGCTGTCCTGGAACTAGCTCTTGTAGACCAGGCTGGTCTTGAACTCACAGAGATCCACCTGCCTCTGCCTCCCAAGTGCTGAGTTTAAAGGCGTGAGCCACCACTGCCCGGCTGATGAGAGTTTTAAAGTTGTTACAAAGCAGAGCATAGTCTGGTGTTTGCTGTTCCCACCACAAGTCAGACTGAGGCAGGGAAATCAATGAGCAACAATGCTGGGCCCATTTCTGAAAATGGGAATACAATGATCTGAACCATCTTAGCTGCTCCTTCTTTGATACATGCTCACTATTAATTTCTCCTCATGAGCAACGGGTCAATTTTAAAGCTTTTTCTCTATGCCTAACAACATAATCATACTCCTACTCTGTGTATGTGTGTGCACGTGTACGAACAAGCGCGCTTGGCTGACCCATTGATTCAGTATTATTGGCAACTTTACTCTGTTCACTTATGACACTGAAGACACAATAATCATATAAAACAGTAACCAACCAAGTTGACTGTCTCTGAAACTGACATTCTGGAGAATTAGACAATGGTTATTACTACATTCAAGTTTTGACCAAAACCAAAGTTACAATGGTCTCTAGGTTATAGTTTCCCTCTCCTAATGAAGACATGCTGGCTGGCATCCTTTTCATTACTAGGCACTCCTACTCACTGTGATTCTTGTTTGCACAACTACCCGTAACTTAAAATTAATATGCATCTTGATTGTACAAGCAAAATAACTTCAAGAAACCTGAAATTACTTAATGTTGATATCCTGACATTATGCTGACCTTGCCCTGACAACTGGCAGGGTACTTATACTTGCATTCATGCAGATACTTAAGACAGCTCAAAGGGCCCTGTGTTGCATGGCTATGTCACATGTTACATGCTGTGTAAGGACTCTGTACACATATGCAAGCTTTCCCATTTAATTGAGCGCCTCCTACCTGTTCTCCTTTTCCCTTCCCTTTCCCTTCTCTTCCTGTTCCCGGTTGGCCAACACCTACCCCTCCCTTTGCTCCCTTTCCCTAATAAACTCCAGTGGGTTTTGTTGAGTTTTGTGGTTCATGTTTCATCACCTGCAGCTGCAGCAAATAATACTTAAAAGTTTAGAACTTAAGCCAGGTGTTGGTGGAGCATGCCTTTGATCCCAGCACTCGAGAGGCAGAGACAGGCGGATCTCTGTGAGTTCTAGGCTAGCCTGGTCTATAGAGCTAGTTTTAGGACAGTCAGGGGTGTTACACAGAGCAAACTTGTCTTGAAAAACAAAACAAACAAACAAAAACAACAAAAAAAGTTTACAACTCAACAAAAACATCCAGAGTGTCTAACACATGATCTAGTTAGAGCATTTGAGTCCTTTGGGAGACAAGCCTTGGTAAACAATACGCCAGGACCTGTGTGAAAATGACACCTAATAAGCACAAGTATAGCTGTGTCCCATTAGATTAGCTGAAAAATATTCATTTCCAGTCAGCCTTATCATCAGGTTAGTTTTATAAGCAAGACTAAAATGGTTTTCCTGGGTATTATTCAACACATTCAGACACAAAAAGTTCTTTGTATCTCTGGATCTCAATGCAGTTGAGTCCTTGTCCAGTGACAGTAGTTAAGCCATCTGAACTAATAAGAAGCTTATAGCCATAATATGAGGGAAAACATACAAGTGGTAAGTAATTAGAAACAGAAAAAAATGAAATAAAATAAAAAGGAAAAGAAAGACAAGACATATGCGGGGCAAACATTGCTAGTGAGTTACCTACACTTGAGGCAGATATTTTAACAGGCAGGCATGTCTGTTGTGACTAATGCTGACTATCTAAACTGTATAAGAAATAAGATAAATTTTCACGCTGAAGTACATTTGCTAAGCTCCAGAAAATAAAATCTGTAAAACAAAATAATCCTTCAAAAGTTTCATTTTTAAAATTCCTATAGCTCTGCAAAAGTTAAAAAAAAAAAAAAGGTAGCTAAAATGCTTTGAAGACCTGGACCAGTTTACTGGGGAAAAGTTCCTATAAAAGGAATTTAGGGCCATGTAGTTAGATTTATACACTCTGGAAACCGAGCCACGCCCCAGCGGGTGGTGTACCAGAGATGTCAGCTCCACTAATCTCCCATCTTTTTCCTGAATAAATAAATACAGTGGATTCAGGAGATAAGTTCACAGGTTTATTAAGTATGCAGTGAGTATTCTGCATGCGTGCTGGGCAAGAAATACAAAACCAAAGACCCTGTAAATACTGAATTAACTCTATTCAGAATTATGATATTTAGTAACTTCTGACATGAAACATAAAAACACTTTTAACACATAAACTTACAGCATTTATGTACTCATTTATAATTTCTTTTTAGTTGTGATGTATAATCTTGGTATGTGTATAGCCTCAGAGTAGCTCTGATGGGGTGGTCACCTCACCTTATTAGGATAACTAAGAGCCTGGGAGTTCATTGAATGCCAAGTAGGAAAAGCTGGGAAACAAAAGCACCAACATGTAAGTTGATTGTGAGGATACAATGCCGAGAGGAGTCAGGTGAGAGTAGCCACCCTCTGCTCTCAGGCTCTCACCAACCTCGATTTTCGATGGCACCTGCTCTGCACCCCAGAGTACTCCAGCAGAAATGAGCTCTGGCCACTCCAGAATGTGGTTCCTCATTCACTAAAAACAACTGTCCAGGACTGTCCTAAGCCAAAGCAGCTCTCCCTCCTCCTTGCTCCTGCTAGACTCCATATAATCCAGGCTTCAGAGCTCAGCCCAGGAATGACTCTGGGCTGCTTTGCTCCTGCATTCTCTCTCCTCCTCAAGCATGGGTGCAGCTGGTATCTAGCGTGGACTGAAACCCACTCCATGACGGCTCATCTGTTTACAGGCATTTGCCAACCGTGGGCTCATTCTGGAAGAGGCTGGGTTTTAACTCAGTAGTGACAAGATGTGTGGAGATGAGCATGAAGTAAGGATTAGAAATCAATCAGGTAGCAAAGTAAGAGCTACCAGCTCAATGCAGCACCCGATCACTACTACACAAAACTCTAGGCTCTCTGTAGTTCCTTACACTACTAGTGTAATCTTAACCACAGCCTAAGTGATACAAACGTGCTTATGTTAGCCCATTGGTGTTTGATTAGAACAGCAAAGCCTTACTGTGAAGCCTAGGGAATAGGGGAGGGGGGACCTGCATGATAAACCACACCAGGCCACACACCTTGAGTCCAAAGGCTGCATCCTCCGAGGCCAAGACTTCGACCTGCAATCATAAGGAGAGAAATAATTTAGGCATTATCAAGAACCCCTCAAGTGCAGCCCTAGAAGCCCGAGCCAGGTGAGACGGAGAAGAAGCTGCTTGTTGAAGCCGGCTCTCAGGGAGAAGGTCAGGAGAGACTCTCAGGTGGGCCTCAACGAGAGGGCCTACCTGCCCTAATGTGTGTGCCAGTGCTCACACCTCAGGATGCTGTACCGGGTGGGCATCGTTTTTAGCTAGTCACTGATGACCAGGGCAGTGAGGGGAAGTCACTCTCAGATAAGCAGCCACTATGCTGGTTGCTAGTAGCCTCTTGCCTTGCTCATATCAAAGTGGACAGAGCAAAGCTCTGGAATGCTGCAGAGCAGATCTTGAGAGCAGTGCTCTGGCAAAGGCAGGCAGAGTCTAGGCAGCAAGTTATAAAATGATGGCAAAACTTCAAACCTGGCTGTCAGTCTTGTGCAGTAGACGACAGAGCTCATTAACATGAATTTAAAAGCTGCGTGGAACGAGACATGTATTGATAATTACTGTTTTTTAAACATAATTATTCAGTCTGGTGTATTAAGCTCTTAAGTTTGGCTACTACAAAGAGCCAATGTGAAGGGAGTGAACAAGGAAAGAAGGAGATAGGCAGTCTGAGTGTTGGTCACCTGATGAAGGCTATGGGGGTAGGGGCTGGGGTGGACCTGTCACCGGCCTGAAGCAGGTGTACAGACGCCTCACCAACGTGTGCTGCTGTAAATGACACCAAGGAAGACTATCCCGGGAGAAGCACATCCAGCATAAAACTAAAGGGGTTAAAGAGGAAGGACTGATGAAGACCAAAGCCCCGCCCCCCTCCCCGGAGAGATGGCAGACTGGGTGCAGTGCTGAGAAGATGAGCAGCAACGCTGAGATGAGAACCATATGTTGCTGATATCAAATATGATTTTAGGCTAAAGACTGAGATGTTGGATTAACTGGAGTAGAAAAATCATGGTAAGATACACTTACACCATTTCTGTTTACACTCCAAAGCTAACTGCAGATTTAGAAAGAAGCCTTATTATAGACTCTGGCTTAGGACCCCCTCCCCCCACACAAAAGCTCATGTCTTCCAATTTCCTGAGTCCTGCTTTGGGGGGAAACACGGCCAAACTCAACGACTGTGGGCATTCTGTGATGACTGCTTGTGAGCTGTATGCACAGACCCTATCTGCTGTCTTCATCACTCAGTTAGGACACACGACCTTGATGCGGGTATTTTCACATACATACAATTATTGCTGAACATATTAAAGTCGAGGTTGGTATCCAGAGTGAGTTCTCCATATTTTAACAGATTTTAAAAGTCAAGTAGCAAAAAGAAAAGGAAAAAAAAAATCAGTAGCAAATAGAAATCTATTTAGAGATAAAGCTTTACTATATGACAACAGAGGTGAGAACAGCGCTTTCTGTGGAATTTAGGGCTCCAAGTGCGAGTGTGAGCACAGGCGGGCTTCAGCCTTCAGCCTGCTTCTCTCTCTAGCCAGCTGAAGGGTATTTTAGCCTTTTAACTCATCACTTAGGTAACTTCACAAAGCTGTCTTCTTCAAATAGTATGATTTTAAAATCTGCACCCCTGGCTTACTGTCCTAAAATTCTCGGTTCTATAAAGTTCTAGGTTATCACCTGCAGAAGGAAACGCCTATTGAAAAACCATGAGATAAATTCAGTTTAATATCAAGGAAACAGCAATGTCAGAGGAAGGATTTCATGCTGGTCTGTCGCCATTGGAAGGAGCCCCTCTAGTGGGAGCAACAGAGTATTTCAAGCTTTGTCTCATTTCAGGCTAGTAAAGTTACCAGGAACCAGCAATGCCGTGTGTTACTTCTGTCATAAACTTGAAAATAAAGTTTAAGAAAAAAGCTGATAACCATTTTGTCTCTCATTAGCCAGAAACTATCTACATACAAAGTGAAGTACATTTGTATTGATTTGATAGATGGTGTTAATCTTTAGTTATTAGTCATCTGACATCATTTTTAATTTGGCTATGAACCAGTCCTAACTTTAAGTTAAAGCAAAAATGTGTAGCTGGGAAATACAGTATGTTTTCAAGTATAAAGACTTGACCAAACTGGAAAGGTGTACACTGATATCTAAACCTCGATTTTTCTTATCGGCTGTCATCTGCATTACAATTTCTCAAAAGAAACACCTGCCCACATCCATCAATAAAGACTTCCTGATATTTAATACATGCAAGGCTTGCACTTGGTATCTCAAGACAATCAAAGTAAAGTGTTTCATGTAAACACCCGACTGAAATATATTTAAGGGATTCAAATGAGCAGTCAACACTGGCTAACACGTGTGCCCACAAAGATTCCATCTGCAGAGAACTTCAAAGCATAGCACAAAGGTCAGCAGTAACAGTAGCCAAGCACTTGACCCTGACCCTCTTGCTGCCCTGCTAGCCATCTCAACCCAAACCACACAACTCAAGGTGGCTATCTGCCCAGTACTTAAGAACATTAACATGTCAATTAAAAAGTAGAACTGATCTGAAGTTTCTTTTCTCACTTCCAAAGTCCTTCCCACTTTCCCAGGTTAGGCTCCCAGGGAAAGGACAAAAATACTAATATAGACCAGAGATGACTCAGCAGGTTAAAAACACTTGTAGCCAAGCTTAAGGACCAGAGTTTGATCCCCAGAACCCACATGATGAAGGAGAGAACTGATTCCTGTGGGGTGTCCTCTGACCCCGAAACATAAGCCATGGAATGGGTGTTCTCCCCATTCACACACTAATAAATATATGGATTGTAAAAAATAAAAATATGCCAATATTAAACAACAGATCAAGAAATTCTAGTGGTACCAATAAGGACATTGTTCTATAATATTCTATTCACCCCCCTCAAAAAAATCCCCAAGAACGTAAGTGGCATATGAATAATGACTGGGTCATCTGTGTGATGCACTTAGAACATGCCCCAGGAATGGGGTGGCTTAGGGAAAGGCATCAATAATTGCCTTCATGCAGAGTAACTTATTCTTCATTGTAGATTGTCTTATAATGTAGGGTTATTTACTTACTACAGGAGATCTCGTTTAATTAAAAGTAATTGGTTGAAATAAGACAATGACATTAACAGCCATTGGATATCATTAATAATTCAATGACTGTATACAAGTATCTTTGATGTTGGAAAAAATGGATAGTACAGCAACCAGCACTTGTATGTGGCAGAGTAGATTCCTGAACACTCAAAGGTAAGTAAAAAACAAACAATCCCCCACAGCAACGACAAAAATAAAACTCAGAAACCTATCACCGTACAGTGTAGTGCCCTCTGTAAGAGAAATCCCTTCACTGCTTGTATATGGAGCATGCACACTGCATCTCGAATTAATGTAATTCACAAAGCTGTCTTCTTCAAATAGTATGATTTTAAAATCTGCACCCCTGGCTTACTGTCCTAAAATTCTCGGTTCTATAAAGTTCTAGGTTATCACCTGCAGAAGGAAACGCCTATTGAAAAACCATGAGATAAATTCAGTTTAATATCAAGGAAACAGCAATGTCAGAGGAAGGATTTCATGCTGGTCTGTCGCCATTGGAAGGAGACAGCATACAAAATTAGGAGTATATAAAGTATTGTATGTTTACACTAGACAGTACTACACAACGGAAAAACCCCATTTTAAAGAAATCTAACATGGAGAAATTCGTACACTGCAGTAAATTTCAAAAGCAGAGTTAAAATCAGAAACCAGACAGTGTAAGTTTCCTCCACATCTTCTAGGACCTGTGCCATACCAGAAAATCTCTCTTCCTTCAAGTTTAAAATTGTTTCACTCATGTTTTCCCTTAATATGCTTGACTTTTACTTTTTTATATTTTAATTTTATTTGATCCATCTGCATTTATTTCAAAATAACAAGGGGAAGGAGTGAGCCAGGCCTAATTTTCCATATGAATAACCATGATGAAGAATAATCCATTATTTTCTCCAAGGGTTAGAGATACTATATCTTTAGCATAATTAAATATTAAAATGATGTAATTTTTGTCTCCAATTCTAGGCTGCGATAGGAAAGGCAAAATTACCCAAGTGAACTGCTATTGAACCCAATGGGAAAATGGGTATGGGGGAATTCTTAGACACAAAGTACTTCTCAAAAAGAATAGCAAATTCTTAGCAAGGAATTTTGATGCTCTTAAAAAAGACAAACTTGACCTGTTCTTGCATCAAAGAACAAAAATATACTTCTACTTATAGTATTTGCTATCTGTTACTTGGCTGAGCCCAAAGGAGCAATACACCAAGTGAAATCTACATTGATTGTACTTTTTATCTCCATTAAAGAAAAGCAAATGCCAGTAAGTGACCTGCTCTCTCAACTATGTCTCAGGATTTTAGACAATTCAAAGTGCAGGCTAATTTATTCTCTCTCCCACCCCTCGAAACACCACTCCCAACAGATACAGACAGCAACAGCTCACATTGGGTTGCAATTTTACTCTTAGCAAGTTGTATTTATCAGCTCATTGTTGTTATTAATTATTATTATTATTATTATTATTATTATTATAGTAGCCGTTTTAAATTTTATAAACCACTAAAAAAGTGAGCACAAAAAACCAGAAACCTTTGCTAGAGTTCCTCTTTGATTTATCAATTCTCTTTTTTCTCCTTGTAACATATACAGCTCATATACAATTCAAGGATGTGCCTGTCACAACTGCTCAGTTGCTTGGTTAGCTGGCAACAGAAAAACACAATTGCCCACCCAGTGTGTGCTATAACAGAGAAAGACTACTAACCGAATATATTTTAAATCAGCAGAAAACAAGTAGTGATAACAATTAATACATGTATACTGCCAAAACCGTTGGTTATATGTGACACTGAGCAACGTGTTTTTACAAACAGGCAATATGTGAATTTCCTTATTTATAAGTGGTGTGCTTGTGCCTGTGAGCCCTTATGTAACTGGCTGTTGAATTGAAGGCTGTCAACAATGCAGTCATGCTC